AATAGCCTTCCTGAGAAATATGTTTCAACATGCATTTTCAGTACTACTTGAGCGTGTGTTGTGCCCCAGCTAGCAGCTGTGACCTGCTAGAAGGAGCCAGACAGGGGCGTGGTTGCACCTACGCCCCTGTGCTCCACTCCTCTGCTCCACCATCCCTTCACTCCTCTAGCGACCGTCGGGGAGGTTGGGCAGTGGCCACAGAGACGTTTCTGCATACCAGCTGCTGTGTTGGCAGCCTTGGAGTTGCCTCTGGGTCTGACTTACCGCCTTGTCTCCTTCAATATAATTGCTCACTGCTGATTTATTTTTTTTTTCTTTCCCTTTGATTCTGTAGCACTCGTATCCTACTCAGATTCCTCATCAATCTTGCAATCTGGGGAGCCTGAGGAAATAAGAGAACTGATCATCTGCAGACTTCTTCTGTACATTGTGAAAGTGTCCCTATGCCATGTGTGATTCTAATCTTTTTTTTCTTTAATCAGAGAGAACATCAGAGTGTCAGACTATACCAGTGAGGTCTGTGTGCTGGGCGGGGAAGGAAGGAGGTGCTTCTGCAGAGGTACTCCCTGCTACCGGCTCCATAGAGGTGACAGCACACCTGTGGCTTCCCCCTTTCTAACCCCGTGCTTTACCTCCCCATGGCCCACACTGCTCAGCCTTGCAAATCTTCTATGGCAGGGCATGTTCTCTCCCTCGCCAAGCCCGCTGGGGCACGGCTGCTTGAGCAGCGATGGCTGCAGGGAGTCCTTGAGGAGCGGCAGAACACGTCTGCCTGGAAATCTGCGTGTGCCGCAGATGGACCCATTTCTCCGTATTTGGAGGTCTTGAGGAACCAAATCACTTCATGGAATTGGCCAGAATTTTAATGCTATCTACCCAGCTACCTTAGCGTGGTGGTAGAAAAAGCACGTGTAGGAGGTTGGGTGGGTTTATTTGGGTGCAAGGGGGTGTGTGCTCTTTGTACATGATGCTGAAAGTTCATCACAAGCTTTTCAACACTCTGTAGAGCCTCTGTCATGAATATCAGACTAGACGGTCCACACTGGGCAAGGGTCGTTAGCATTTATTCCCTAGCTTGCAAGCATTTTAGGAAAGAAAGGAGATCTGAAATGGAATGTGGTCTGAGCTGAAGTTCTGCTCCCTCCATCACTTGTTTACTGATTTATTCACTTACTTAGTGTTACAATTTCTTGCTTTCACCTACCTACTCTCAGTGCACTACAACCATTTTAATATCAAAATATGAAAGCATAAAGCAGCTATAAAGCTACCAGAACTCTTTCCATCCCTCTCTCCCTTCCCATTTGTGCAAGGCAACATCTGAAGCACACTTTTACCTCCAGATGTCAGGACATTCGTAAGAGACTTGGTGCTTGTATGTTCTCTGTGGGATATAAGCAGAAACAGTACCTAGACAGGAAAGTGTTTGAATGTTAATGATAGGACAGTGCTAAAAAACACTTCAAAAATACTTCCCTGCTTTTTGCTGGGGAAGTCTCAATTTGTTGGCTGCCTCTGGCTTTTTGCCCAGTATCCTCAGATCTACTGATGAAGGGAGACAGCAACGCACGTTTGTCCTATTCCTCTTCCCCAGCGTGAGATGCCAGACTGGAGCAGATATGCCACCATTCCTGTTCTTAAGGACACACCACAGAGGGGATTACAGTCTCCTCGGCCCTTCCCTACACCTGCCCTGATACATTCAGTAGCCCTGGCAGGGCTGAGTTACGCCTCATTCACCAGCAGCCATTGGAAGCACAGCTAAGTGGTGTGAGCATCTCCACAAATCCATTGGAGCGCTCCCGAAACAGGATACACATGCACAGTTAGTCCCAGGCGTGCAAAATCCCTTCCCAAGTCCCAGCACAGCATCGCCCTGGGTGGACTTCAGAGACGTCCTGGGAGCTTCTTGCAGGAGAAGGGATTTGCATCGAGCATCCCTGGTGAAAATTTGACTTCCTATCTTGACATGCACTGTTCCTGCTCCTTTTTTTTCATAGGAGTGGCTGCATTTCTTTTGCACTGGATGCATGGTATATAAAGCATTTAGGACGAAAAGTCTATAGAAGTGTGATACTAATAATATTTTACAGCTTTAATTACCATGATTGTAGTGCCTAGAGGCGTATGCAAAAACATTTTGAGTGGGAGGAGAGGAGGCAGCGCTGTGAACATTTTTGTGGTTTTGCTGGGCAATGTGCAATGGAGTTTTCTCATGGGAACCACAGCATGCCAGGGAGAAAAGCTGCCTCTGCCTCCTCGTCTGCTCCATTGGGATACTGGATCACACCCCAAAGCTGAGGAGACAACCACATCATTCCAGTTTTAGGGAAAAGCTGGGCTGACCGACACTGTGCTTTGTAGAGGGGCTCCAGGGGCAGGTGCTGCCCGTTTCTGCAGGCAACAGGTATTTTTCCTTAGGCAACATCCCTTCTGTACAGCGAGCAGCAGCTTCACCTGCAGGATGATTTTAGGATTGGGCAAGTGCTGATTTGGGGCACAGATTTGCCAGCAGCCTCGGGAGCAGCATGCCTGTTCTTGGCCAGGGCGTGCAGCGCAGACGGAGCCCTGGCTCCCGCGGGCCGCCCACCCGTCCCTGCCGAGCCTGCGTGGGCAGGGGCAGAGGGGAGGGGATGGACAGAGGGGCCTTGTGCCCCACGGCAGGCTCCACTGTCAGCAGGCTTAGAGCCACCAAGCGTCACAACTAACTCAGAACAGGAAAATACGCTGTGCAGGAATGCAAGTTTTTAAAAGTTTGGGTGTTACAAAATAAAAAGGGTATAAAATAAAGCCACTTGCGTTTCTCCAGCTTCTGAATGCAGTCCTGAAAACTTAGAAAACTTTTCTTTAAACTTTGTGCCTAGATCATATATTAATTTTTAGAGGTATTTATGTAGTTTTGGTGATAGTGATTTGCCATAGGTTCCTTATTAAGATGTTACAAAGCCAGCAGCCTCCAACTGGAAAAACTGAACGAGAAATTCAATTTTATCTGACATGGTTACCAAAGAGTCAGTTCACAACTCTGCTTCCTGCCTGGCAGGACCCTGCTCAGACAAACAGCCAGGAGGTACTGATAGCCAAGGTATGGATGGGAAGGCAAGGAAAATGGAAAGTAAACCCTGTGTGAAAGCCATTCCTGGCTCTGGGGATGGATATTGGCCTAAAAGACAAGCATATTTTATTGAGGCTTTTTTCCCTCGCTTACTAATTTTCCCTCCGTTTATTCCTTTTTTTTCTATTGTTATCTGCACTAAATATGACTTAATTTATTAGTTACTACTTATTTTACCACGTATTACTTAATTTATCACTTAAATATTACTTACTTAAAAGCTGGCAGCTTAATCAACTCTCCATCCGTAAAATAAATACACGGTATCACTTCTCCCTGCTTGAATTGATACCCGGCGTTTTGCACCGCTTTGTGTACAGCTGTGTTTTGCACCCCGGGCCGGCCCGGCCCGACACCGCCCCCGGGGCCGTGTGCCCGCAACCCGGCGAGGTCCGCGCCGCTCGGTCACAGCCCGGCACTGAGCGGAAAGTTTGAAACGGCATTTTCCCACGGGGGCGGCAAATCCCGGGGGGTGTCCCCGTCGGTGTCCGGGGGGTCCCGGGGGTGTCCCAGTTAGTGTCCCGGGGGTCTCGGGGGGGTGTCCCACGGGTGTCCCAGTCGGTGTCCGGGGGGTCCCGGGTGATGTCCCGGTCGGTGTCCCGGGTTGTGTCCCGGGGTGTGTCCCAGTGGGGTCCCGGGCTGTGTCCCAGTGGGGTCCCGGGCTGTGTCCCGGGGCTGTCCCGGTCGGTGTCCGGGGGGCCCCGGAGGTGTCCCGGTCGGTGTTCCGGGGGGTGTCCGGGGTGTCCCGGGGGGGTGTCCGGGGGTGTCCCGGTCGGTGTCGCGGGGGTGTCCCGGTCGGTGTTCCGGGGGGTGTCCGGGGGGGTCCCAGGGGGGTCCCGGGCGGTGATCCTGTCGGGGGATGTCCCGGGGCGGTGTCCCGGGGGTGTCCGGGGGTGTCCGGAGGTGTCCCGGTCTGTGTCCCGGGGGTGTCCGGGGGTGTCCCGGTCGGTGATCCGGGGGGATGTCCGGGGGATGTCCCGGTCGGTGTCCCGGGGGGGTGTCCGGGGTGTCCCGGGGGTGTCCGGGGGTGTCCCGGGGGGCTGTCCCGGGGGTGTGTCCCGGTCGGTGTCCGCCGGGGGTCGCTGCCGGTGCCGGTGCCGCCCCCGCCGGGCGCTGCGTCACGCGGCGGCCGCGCGTGGGCGGGCGGCGGAGCGCGCGCGGGCTCTCCCCATGTGACCGCGCGGGAGGGGGCGGCGTGTGCGGGGGGCGGGGGCCGCTCCCTCCCTCCCTCCCTCCCTCCCTCCTCCCCCCCTACATCCCTCCCTCCCTCTTTCCCTCCTTCCTTCCCTCCCTCCCGCCGCCCGCTCGGCCCCCGCGCGCGGCGAAGGCGCGGCCGAAGGCGCGGTGCGGGTGCGGCGGGGCGGCCCCGCGCCCCTCCGGCGGCGGCGGCAGCGAGGCGGTGGCGGGGACAGGCTCGCCCACCCGCCCCGTCGATGGGAAAGGAGGAGCCTGGGCGGGGGGGCCGCGGGCAGGAACTTCGGCGGGGCTGAGTCTGCGGCCCCGGGACGGCGCCGAGGGGAGCCCCGGGCGGCCGGCGGCGGGAGCAGCCCACTGCAGAGTAGGTGCGGGGCGGGCGGGGGGCGCGGGCAGCCCGGCCCCGGCCCCGCGGGGCACGGCCGGAAGGAGCGGGCGGGTCGTGCGTGGGTGATTCCCGGAGAAATCCGGCGCGGGGGGGGGGGGGGGGGGAAACGGGACGGGGGAGTGGGCGGAAAGTGCAGGAGCGTCCCTGCCGTGTGTGCGGGGCGGGGGGGGCCGCGGGGCGGGGGCGGGACGGACGGGACGGGACGGGACGGGACAGGCGGAGGCGGTGCCGTCCCGCGCGGGGCACCGGGAGCGGGGGGAGGCGATGCGGTGCCGGCCGCCCCCCGAGCTGTGCGGGGCCGTGCCCCTCCGCCGCCTCCGCCGCCAACCTCCCCGGGTTGTCCGGGCGCGGCGGTGCCGGGGGGGCCCTGCGGAGAAGCTGCTCCGAGGACGTTCCTGTCACCGGGCTCGGCGGCTGCGGACTTAGCGTGGGGACCGCAGCCCCCCGCCCCTGCCCGCTGTGCGAGTTTCCTTCCACTGGGCTCCATCCCCCCTGGGGGACCCCCTCCTCGGAGCCGGGCGGTGGGGGACCCCTCTCTGGCCGTACGGGAATCTTGAGGTATTTGTGTTCATTTCGTCTTTACGCGATGGTGGTGTTTTTGCACGTTTGAAGTTTCTCATTAGTTAGCGGCGAGATACGGATCTGTACGTGAACGCGGAGTTCACTCAATCGGCTGTATTTTGGCACATCTCAGAGCTAGACAAGACTATTTAATTTGCAAAGTCTCGCTTCTGCAGCTACATGTAATTTTCTCCTCCTGCTAAAAGTCCTTTGGAAGCGCTGCAGAAATGTAATGAATATGCAAAGCAGCCAGCTCTCAAACCCAAATCCGGTTTGTCTTCAGAGACTTTTCAAAACGCCCAAAGTGATCAAGATATATTATGAAATAATCACTTTTGCCTAAAATACAGGGATGTGATGTTTCACACTTTCTCCTTGTGCGTATTCCTAATTTAATTGGTGACAGCTCAAATAGAATTCACCTGAAATAAAAATCTCTAAAAATCGGTTAGAGTTGCTCAGTTGCTTTTACTTCTGGTGCAACCTTAAAAAGCAGGAAAGCTGCTCTTTAAGTCCTTGTCCCATGCCTACATCTCACAGCTCCTGAGTTTTCCTTCTCCCAGTACTTCACCCACGTCCACCACCTGCCTACTTCAGCCGCGTATCTTCCTGCCACCTCCGGGAAGTGTGCAGCTTTGAACTCGGAGCAGGCAGAACGGGAAGGAACGGGTGTTTTCCCGTGGTTAAAGATGTTGAGAGGGGCTGCTGCTGCCGCTGCCCTTGTCTTGATAGAGGGAGCAGGAATAGGTTGTGATTCCTGCACTAGTTGTTTACAAATATTTAAGAGTGCTCTGTGGTGCCTCTGTGGTTTTTGTTTTCCTTTTTCCCAGGAGTTATGTTTGTGGTCAGAGTTAAAGTGACATCCAGCGTTTGGAGAGGAGGGCATAGCATGTGGGGTGATAGGCTGTGGATGTGAATGAGGTAATGTGGAAAATCAGAATGCATGGTTATGGGTTGCAAGGGCTGAGTGAAAATCTAACTAGTGATTTCCTGGTTCTTCCATGGCTATAACAGTATGGAGCCTTGCATATATTTTAAACAGCTTTGTCTGCTACAGGGAGTTTCCTGGCTTCTTTGTTTGTTCTGTATGTGAAAAACGTAAGAGGTGGCTACTCTTCCCGGTGTGTTCCCACACTTGTCACTGGTATGGACAATGAGCAAAGAAGGGGGAGAAGTAGCAGCTCAAGTGCCATGGCTGTATTTATGCATTCCTGCCTTTTGCCAGAAAAAGGGTTTGTAGTTGCCCATACCTTAGATCTCCTTGCTCACTCCTGAGGTGGCAGATCGTTCTGGTTGGCTTCTTAAGAGTTTGCCAGAGGGCATGACCACACTGTTACTCCTGAACCAGGTTGGTTTGGGATCTCAGATTAGAAAGCCTAAGACTTACCGAGTAGGCTGCAGAAGAGGGGGAGCACCCATGGTGTCCCAGGGTCTTACCGAGGTGCTCTGCCCAGTGAGGAGGGATACACAAGTCTTCTGGCTGTGAGCTCGCCCCTCGTCTTCTCGTTGTGTAACCTCTTCTCGTGCTCACCCTTTACCCTGAAAGCACGGTCCCTGATGCACTAGGAAATGAGAACAGCAGTGGTGGAAAGCAGTACTTTAGGTCTCTTAGATGCAGCTTAAAGGTCACCCGAAAGATGTGGGGCGCTGAGACTTGAGTGGGTGTGCTAAGGCTTTGCGTAGGTGAGCAGAGCCAGCAGCAGCAGCAGTGCCGTGTGTCCTTCGGGTTAACGGTCTCCTCTGATTCAGGCAGTGCTGTGCTACTTCCTCAGCAACCCTTCCTTCGTTGCTTGTCCTCTTCCTAAGCCTCATCTTACTCCTCCAGGTCGACTAGCATACCTGCTTTTCTGGCTTTGTAGGCTGTGAGCTGACCGAACCAGGGCACTGGACCGGTAATGTCTGGAGAAGCAGCGTAGCTGGCGGCCTGGGGAGGCTGTCTTGGAAAGGGGAGGGAGCCTTCCCCTTGTAAAAGTTTAGAAATACTTGAGATGGTGTTGAGGTGAGTGCTGGAGGAGCTCTGTATAATGCAAGGAGAAAAGAGGTCAAAAGGAGGAGTGTTTGAAAATGCCTTCTCTGCAGAAATCAGTAGCAGTCGTAAATGGAAAATTTGCTTGGCCCTCTCAGGAGTCACTGTACTGAATTTGAAAAGCAAAATGGGTCTTTAAAGTACAAAACAAAGGGATTTCAGTCTTGCTGTAAATGCAAATCTCAGTGCAGTCTGAACCGTGGACTCACTACTGACGCCTCCATAGTACATATTAATCCAGTTTTATCTGTCATGAGGAGATTTGTTGATTAGAAGCCTCTAGGTAAAGGCTGCTTGTGGACTGTTTCTGCTCTTCCAGCCTGTGGGCTGGAAAAATGAGTTTAGTTCCATGGCTTGCCTGGAGCTCCTGGGCTGTGTGTAATTTCACTGCCACCATCCTCTCAGGATTCAATTTAGCTCTCTGCACAAAGTCCATTTATGTAGATTTATGTATATTTAGTGCTAAGATGAATGGCTTTCCTAGGAAATGGGCCTTTGTTTGAAAGTTATATAAGTTAATTTGTGGTATTGATGGTGAAAACTCAGCATCATTTGAAATGAGAGGGTAGGAACAGCTTACTGAAATGCCACTAAACCATAAGCTGTTAGTTTTGTTTGTCTTGTCAAAGTTTTTGTGAAATGGGAGGATTTTTCTAAGAAATTCTGTGAAATAAGAACAATTTTTTAAAATATTGAATTATATGCCCTTGAAAGGGTTACTTTTAAGTGATTTTCCTCATTTTCCGTGTTTCTTCTTGTATCTTTGAATGTAGACAATATTTCTGAAGTTAACTGTTATTTTCAAAAGTTAAACTGTATTTCTAAAATATGTAGCTCTTGAATGTTTCCAGTTTCACCCTGAGTTCAAAAGTGTGTAGTTTATTAGGTCATAAGCTCACCAGCAACTCCTTGAGGTAGCTACTCAGATCTGAACAGCTATTGCTGTCCCTTCTGTTTTACAGATACCAGTGTACAAGGAATTATATGTTCAGCTGATGGTTTGGGGGTTTTGTATTTTTTGTGTGTTTTGTTTTTTTTCCCCCAGGGCTCCTATCTCTCTTCCTGAAGAGATTGATTGTAGGTATCCTGTTGCTGCCATATACATTTTTGGAAACTTTCTGTTGGCCTCCTAATTTTATTTTTCTCTAGTAGAGTTTAATCACAGTTTTGTAGCAAAAACTTGATCTTTCAGATGCCTCCTGAATAGAAGCTGAGCTCTGTTTCTTACATCGGTATGTTTATTTTGAGTTGCTGAAGAAAAGGCTCGTATTGTAACAAAACAGAAAACAAGCAACAAACCAATGCAGAAAAGTACACACTGTAAAAATAATTTGTCTTAGTTATACTTTTGATTACCAGTCTCCCACTGCCCCTTAGCATACGTATATTCTTGCATCACAGTCTTGGATGGAGGGGAGTTGCACATTATTAAAATAGCTTCCCCCCAGTGTGTGCAAATCGTTCTGTAGGTGTTGTTTTTTAGGTTACTACTGTGTGCTTTTTCAAGTGCAATGTGATAGTAGAGCCAGAGCAATGTTAGCAGACCTGCTCAGTGTTTTAGTTTTGCTACTTTCCCAACTAACTATAAATTACATGCTTTAGACCTTATTGATTGGTGGTTTAGCTTAATACAGTAATACTGGAAATTATCCGCTTGTGGTTGTGAAAGCCATCGTAGAGCGAAGAGGTGTGTGTGTGTGAGAGGTCTGAGAATTCTCTGAAGAGTTTATTATTTGTGGTATAACTGGATAACAGGGCTTATGAAGGTGAAACTTGTGCAAATGTTTTTTTCCTGCAGCTGTAAGGGTAGAATGCTGCTGCGATTTGTCTGTTGGGAGCCCCTAAGTGCAATTGCTGTATTGCTGAGTGGTGTTTCATGTCATAAGTGTCAATGACACACAGCCCTGTTAGCAAATGGAATGGGCAGGCAAATTCAGAGTAAGGTTTTTAAAGTATATGTGTTGGAATCCATCAGTATTTTTGCTTTGTCTGCGGCTGTTGCTGCCATAATTAAAATCAGCATAGGCATTAGATTCTTTTTATGTCAGATGGGGAAAACTGTAGAAATACTTGGTTCTGAAATATCCTTTTACTGGCCCAGCTTTGTTAATCTTCTGGGGTTCTGTGAAGCACTTGTTCTTCTTTGCTTTCCTTTTACAGCCCTCCATACTGCTACGGATGAAAATGATTTGAGCATTAAGAATTGAAACTGAGGAGCTTTTTTCTTCAAGGAACCAAGTATTCTGTAATTCTTCAGATTGTTTTTTGTGATCATTTTGATCTGAAAATATAAAAGAGAGTTGAGTAGAAGCAGTGAGCAATATTGACTGACATTCTTGGGAGCAAACATGAAGTGGGAATGTTGAAAACAAGCTGGCTTCATGTTTGAATCATCTTTTTTGTAGGTGCATTGCAACTATCTGCCGATTTGTTTTTTCACTAATATTTCCATTAAGTTAACTAGTCAAAAAACTCCTTTTTCATTTCCATGAGTGTTGTTATGATGAGAGAAAGAAATCCTGTCCTCCGAGTTGTCAGCCTTACGGAAATACGGGCTGTGGGGGTAGTGCATCCAAATGATGGTGTTTGGTGCTCATCTCCTCTCTGCTTTTACTGTTTGCAGGTTCTGTCCTCCGTGATGGCGTCAGCTCTACCCAGAACCCTTGGGGAATTGCAGCTATATCGAATACTACAAAAAGCAAATCTATTATTCTACTTTGATGCCTTCATTCAGCAGGGTGGTGATGATGTCCAGCAGCTCTGTGAAGCAGGTGAAGAGGAGTTTTTGGAGATAATGGCTCTTGTAGGCATGGCTAGCAAGCCGCTTCATGTCCGAAGGCTGCAGAAGGCTTTGAGGGACTGGGTCACAAACCCTGGTCTGTTTAACCAGCCTCTCACCTCCTTGCCCGTCAGCAGCATTCCAATATATAAGCTGCCAGAAGGGTCTCCTGCGTGGCTGGGGATATCCTGCAGCAGTTATGAAAGGAACAGCAGCACCAGAGAGCCTCACCTGAAGATTCCAAAATGTGCTGCCACAACGTGTGTGCAAAGTGTGGGCGCAAGCAAATCCGATGTGGTGGGGAGCTTATCGCTGCAGAGCGGCAGCGAACCGAGACTCTGGCAGGGACACCACACCACAGAGAGTGAACATAGTCTTTCCCCGGCTGACCTTGGCTCTCCAGCTTCACCAAAGGAAAACAGCGAGACCCTGGATGCCGCTGCTGCTCTGTCAGTTGCTGAGTGTGTAGAACGTATGGTTCCCTCCCTGCCCAAAAGCGACTCCAATGAAGTCAAGGAGTTACTGAAAACAAATAAGAAACTGGCAAAGATGATTGGTCACATCTTTGAGATGAGTGACGATGACCCTCACAAAGAGGAGGAGATCAGAAAGTACAGTGCAATATATGGCAGATTTGACTCAAAAAGAAAGGATGGCAAACATCTCACCCTCCACGAGGTAAAACACCTTGGGTGACACTGGGCTTCCTTCCCCTATTCCTGCACCTTCTATGAGATACTGTTCACAGGGTGCACTTCTTGTGAGGGCACTTCTTGCTGGATGATGAGACTTGTATTTTGACTGCTGTAGGCAGGGCTGCCCTGGCACAGAAGCCTCGGGTGCAGTACAAGTACCCTTCTGTGGGTGTGTGTGTGCACACGTGCACTGATTTCAGCGTGGTGTCATCAGACTGCTCGGCCGCCGCTGCAGCCTGTCAGGCAGAGGGTTTAAACAGTTTGGCACTGAAATAGCAAACCAGTATTGCACTGAGCGTGGCCCTTGGGGTTCTAAACATTTGGCACGTTTTCAAGGGGTCCTGTATTTCCTTGCAGCTTTGAGAGTAGATTAGTTGGTTGGAAGATCAGTAACTAAAATGGCTTGTGTCTGGTGTGGTTATTACCCTCTGCTGTCTTTCCTCACCTCGAGACCCTGCTCTGTAGCTTGTGCCCTTGAGGCTAAAAGGATTCTGCCAATGAGGTTCCTAAACCCAGTGTGGTGGGGTTTTTTTGGGTTGAATTGGGATGAAACTCACCTGTACAACCTGTGGGGTTTTTTGGGCACAGTGGTCGTAAGCCAGTCAAGTGAAGTTCCTCCTGTGTGAGGAGGAAGGGGAAGGACTGTCCCCACTATTGATGGATGGCTGTAATTTGAAAGTTTGTCCTGAGCAGCATCTCTTCCCTCTTGTCCTTGAAAGTCCATGCGGGCCTCCTTCGCTTCTCTTCTGGCATTCTTGAGGCTCGCACTGCATATGTTGTAACGCAATAGGTGTGTCCTTGTGGGGAATAGTTTCCTAGTGCCAGAGTACAGTACAAGAGGAGAACAAACATTAACTCAAAGCAGTGCCAAAACACTGTTGATATGAATGCTGCATCAGCATTTTTACAGTTAACACTGATTGCAAAATTTCAGTTGGATTTAAAATTTGGCATGTAAGGCTTAGCTCCCAAAAGGAAAGGCAATGTTTATGTTACAGGAGTGCCAAAAAAACTGTACTGGCTTTAGCCTTTTTTTGCTTCAAGAAGAAGTTTTGTAGGTGTGTGATCCATAGCATAAGACTGAGTTCTCTTTATGCTTCTGAGTAGAAGGGCAGAAGGAAACAAGGCGTATTTCTTTACATTTTTGTTTATGTATTTACATTTATAAGGCAACTGCACATCACCGGCAGTGACTTGACGAGGGCTTTTACTATAGACTGGGGAGACACTTCCACAGTAGTGAGCCACATTTCTACCACACAGTTCTAGTTGTGCAACTTTCGCTTATGTGCTTTGTGGCTTTATGTTGAACACTTATAATTTGTGAATTCATCCAGTGTACAAAACCAGATCTCATCTTACTCCCCTGACCTTGTGGAAGTCTCGTAACAGAACAAGTTGTGTATGAGATGGAGGCAGGATTTGAAAGGATTGATTGTGTAGATGCCCTTTGCACATTGCTGCAGATTCAGGATTTGGAGAAAGGGGGTTCTCCCCACCTGGGCACGGACGCAGTCGAGGTGTACAACGTGTGCAGCTGTGTGCTTTCACAGTCTTTCTCTGGGGTGGTGACTGCAGAAAATACTCTGAAATCTGGGCAGACTTCTTGTAGGATAATTTCCTGGAATCCAGCGGTGTGCTGGGAGGTGGGCTCCAAGGGCAGCTTTTGTGTCAGGCATGTGGTAGGCTTGGGAATGGCTCTAAAAAGCTGGAGGAATGAATACTGGGGTGGTAGTTTGAAGGAGCAGGGTAGCAATGAACTGGAAGAAAGGGCGACTGCTCTGCCTTGTCCATTGTTTTTTTGTTTTTTTTTAGTATTGCACTACAGATCTTTACTACATCATTGTAAAACCATGTTTAAAAATGGAATGAGAGCATGGTTTGGCTTTAGGAAATATTTCTATCGCTATTATGATTAAGGGCACAAGATCAAAGGAGTCTGTGGTTGACTTATGCCTCACTTACGCATGTGGGGCCTCACTGAACTTGATGGGAACTGCACACATGCAAGCAAGAAGAATTTGCTCATAATTGGTTTACTGTTTGCTTAAAGAGGCCGGATTTCATGAAGTTTTGTCTTGAACAGTTTTCATTTCCATTTTAAAGCAGAAAAAAGCGGAAAATATACAAATAGCAATAATGAGACTTTTTTTTTGTTTAAAATCTGCTAAACCAGAGTTTGCCTTTCATAAACTCAACTTCAGTATGTTTTTGGGTTTGATGGCTTAAACAATTTGCTGCTCAGAAGGAAGGACCTTAAACAACCAGGGAGGTAAGTTTCTGCTTGTCCAGAGACTGTTTCTGCACGTGTTAATACATTCCAAGGCTGTCATTGTGCCTTGTAGTTCAAGGTTTTTCCTTGCAGCTGGCAAGGAACAGCTGAATAAACTTCACTATGAATTTAAAAAGCTTAAGTAGGGGTTAGCTTCTTAATGTAAAGATCAGAGTATCTCTGGCTCCTCAAGCACAGTGGAGTTGCATGCAAATTAAAATCAAACCTGATGGAATTATTAGTGGTAAATTAGTGAGAATATTTCACTTCAGTATGAACACTGGAGTGTCTCTGAGGGCTTGAGCAGCCATTAGAGGCCTGTGAGAGCTGCAGGCACTGAGCTGGTTTGGATGTGTGTGCTACTGGTAGGAGTATTTCCATAAAGCACTAATCTGACATAAAATCTGATGCAGAATCTTTCAGAGGCAATCTTTCCAAAACTAATAAACATGCTGTTCTTAATCCATCCCATTGTCTCAGTATTACACAGCTTTTCAAACTCGGGAAGCACTTGATGTTGGACTGGAGAAGGGATGAGTACGAGGCATGCCCTTGAACTCAGCAACCCGAGCATGTTTGAGTCAGATTTGTAATTTCCCTGTTAATATTTCAGTACTTGTCTCAGTGCCTATAAGACAAAAAAAAACCCTGTTCAGTAGTGTGAGAGACGGGAATTAGAAATACAAGTAATAAATTTTGTCTGGCCTGGTCTCTTCCTTTTCTTTTGCTGACTCACCAAAACAGTAGGGCTTGGTGTTTAATTATGTGTTTTTAGTGGGGGAATATGTGAACCCCGTCAGATGGGAATATACCCATCCCTCTCCGTACAGTCTGTATGGCTGTGTGCTGCTCCATATCCTTAAGGATTCCACCAAACAGAATCTTTATTTTTAGGCATGCAAAGCTTTCTATCTGCGGTATTATGCCTCCTGAAAAGGCAGGAAGCCATGATGCACTTCAATTCAGTAAGTCTGGATGTGACCTCAAAGAGGAAACCAGGAAAAACAAACAAATAAACATTTGGCTTTTCTCACATATTAGGATAAACAGCATTTGCCTACAACTACCCAAAGCATTTTCAGTCATTTCAGCTCTTTGCAACCTTTCAGCACTTTGAGGGATAAAAAAAATATCTCAAATTATTTTGTAAGCATTAGCCATATTATTCATCCCTGGCAAAGTAATAGCTATCACTGTTACAGAAATTATTGCCTGCTTTGGATGGTAATTCTTTTCATCAGTGTCGTATTAATCTTTTATTGTATCTTTTTTCCCTCTGTGTTTTTGTCTGAAAAGATAGACATTGTAGAATAACTGTTCCTGTCTAGGGAGTAATGGTTTGTTGTTTTAGTACCTTGTATTGTAGGAGCATAGTAACCTGTTTCACAGATTAAACCTAAAGTTCATACCCTTGTCCATCTGATCTCTGTAAGATTATTTTTTTTGTCTCTACAGAGACTAAAGGATCAGGCAACATATTTAGTTTTCCTGTTAAAGACATAATTGTGCTCTGCTTAACATTCAGGTACCATAGGAAATGCCCTACTCAGATCAGAGGATTTTAGGCTAAACACAGGAAAAAAGTTCTTATAAAATATTAGGAGCAGCAGTTCTGTGTGAGGTTTTACTAGAAATACTGCATGGGCACAGGCCGCTGAGAGAAGCTCAGCTCTTCTGACAGGTTTTTGTTTTTTTAACCTTCCTGGAGAACAGGTGTCACTTTGGGCAAAATATATTTTTTAATTTGGATGCCATCAAGCCCCACAGCGAAGGACAGCGTGGTTGTATGTTGTTCATGTCTTATGACAGCTTCCATCCTTCAGGGATGGAGTGTGCAGTGTTTTGGGTGAGTTGCTGGCCTCTGTGATTTAATTCACAAATAGCATTCTGCAGTGTGGTAGACAGCAGGATGGAAGAGCGAGTTCCTTAGCCTTCTCCCAAGAGACACCCTTTAACTGCAGATCTGCTGGTCTGTCCTTGGCTGCACCTTTGTCTGCCTCCATGAAAAGTGCTTCTTGTAGGAGCAGTGTTTTCAGTGTCTGAGGTCACATGTGTGGTCCTGCCCATCCTCAGCCACGTCCCTGTGCCCTGAGCTGTGGCTGTTCCCTGCACTGCCAGATCAAGGGCTGGGCATGGCACATCTCTGTCAATCGTGAATGTGCTGACTGTGCCCTGAAAACTGAGATGCTTTGTAGTATTCACTAGCCTGAGACAGATGCAGAACACACTGTTGACAGTGGCACCAAAGCAGCTGTACTCCTTTGCCAGAAGCCAAGCCCATTCAGAGCACCTTAATTTCTAGAAATAGAAAAGAGGAGAAGGGTTGTGGGCACTTTGGTAAAAACACCTGTAGTATTCTGTTGGCCTCTTGCTGTTACGCCTCATTACATGTGCTGGCTGTTCTTCAGCTGAGAAAAAAGTGAAATGTCTCTTCAGCCCCTGCTTCTTAGGGAAGGAGCGTGGATTCACCTCTCCAGCATCTCGATTTGTGTCTCTCGTTGCATTAAGAATTTTGTTGTGTCCATACTGCTGACCACAGGCTCTTCAGACAGCAGTATTGTAAAGCTGATATAATCCATGACAGTATCACCACTTCCTGTAGGCTTCTGAAGAGCACTGAGCCTTAACTTAAGGAGGTTTTTTTCCCCCTCTTTGTGAATCTACTGCCAGCAGCACAGGCACTAGAAATGTGTCCTGGCAGGCTCAGGAAAACATCCTTGAAACAAGTTACATTTGATTCATGTCTGAAGATAGTCTTCACAAACACGAGGGTGAGAAACATAGCTAAAAAAAGTTTAATCGTTTCTTAAACCATCACCTTCTACGGAATTTATTCTGTATTCACCAGGGAAAGCCATCTGTACCCACACTGTCAGGGTTTTTTCTCTTTTTTTTTTTTTTTCCCAAGTCCTGGGCATATTGCGTTTATAAAAATAGTATTCCCTGTAAACCAGGCTTTGGAAGCCAAACACTGTGAACGTTCAGTGCTACTGTTTTATACTGAGATTTAATTAATGCTGGGATGAGGCACAAGCAGCGCACACCGAGACAGTCTTACAATAATGTTTTACTTTCTGCACCAACTGCGTTCATATCCTTTTGTCTTCCCAGAGGCTTGCCTGCTTTAGTGAGGGGTATAAATGCACTGAAGAAACCCTCCAGGGTTTAGTATACAGTTATAGGCGATTTTAATTGCAATCGAAATTTTTTATTATTTCAGGAGAGGTACTTTTACAGGCACAATAGGTGAAAGTATTCAGAATCCTGAACCCCTGTGTTTGTGTTTAATTTCCAGCTCACAGTTAATGAAGCAGCCGCTCAGCTGTGTGTAAAAGATAACGCGTTGTTGACCAGGAGAGATGAACTCTTCGCGCTAGCTCGGCAAATCTCTCGAGAAGTTACCTACAAGTATACTTACAGGACCACCAAGTAAGGCTTTAATTAACTCAAAGCTTTCAGAGAGCTAATCAGCCTGATAGCATTTCTTCCTGAAGCGCTAGAGACACTTTTATTCTTGCTCTTCTGAGCAAAGTGCTCTTCTGAGGAGGGTAGGAAAATGCTATTTAAGTCGTGAAGCTTTTAAACTAATAAGATTTAGCTGTCTTGAATTACCTTTTTTATTTGCTCTTTAGTTTTCCAGATATTTTGATGATGGTGCATGTTGAGAGGCATCTGAGAGATTGGTATTTCAAGCACATGAGGCATTTGTGTATTTTAAGGTTAATGTAAAAAGGCAGAATAGCCAAAAATGTTCAGTGTATCAATTGCCTTTTTTCCATATACAGGTTTGGCTTGTTAGCCAAAAAGATAAGGTCATAGAGAGTGGCTTACAAATTTGCTTTAAATGAGGTGAAGCCAAGTCCTAATTTCAGTTGTTACTGTTCTGTTAAATGAACTGCTGTTATGAAACAGTGACAAAGGCTTAACACCTTTTAAATACAATTAAAACCCTAGAATTAGTAAGTACGATTGAAAATCTTGACGCTTTCTTTGTTTTTTAAATGTTAACTCCCTTGCCTGCAATGCAATATCCTTTCAAAATACATTCTCCTACACTTCTGAGAAGTTTTCCTTTGCTCCCCTTTCTTCCATAGTGATTAATGTAAATATACATCCATTCTGGGTAAGGAATGCCAGAGGCATTTCTGTAATTCAATGTGCTCAGGTAGCTTTCCTTTCTCTTTGGAAGAGGAATCCGTGAATCTCTTGACACTTCTGAAAACAACAAAAGGTGCTTGTATTCCTCTGTACTTGAGTGACATTCACTGCCATGTCCAAGAGAACTGGGGGCTTTCTTTGTGCATCTCACTTGTTTGTCCCTGATCTACTTTTTTCCTTGAATCTGTTTCTCATTATTATTGGTAGTCAGGGTTAATGTGCTGTTCACTGACAGTGTATGTGTCTTCTCTTCTAGATCTAAGTGTGGGGAAAGGGATGAGCTGTCACCAAAGAGAATCAAGATGGAGGTACAGTATTGTGACTCCTGTATTTTGACCTATGCATGCTAAAATTCACTTTTGTTTTGAAGGGATCTGTCTTAAGGAAATTTGTCAGAAAAACATTTGATAGACAGGTGATGGATGTGAGAGAGAGAGGGGGAGAACATCACCACTGTCTCTGCAAATATAAATGCTTGATGGAGAAACCTGTAGGAGCAGGGAAAAAGAGTAGGATTTGTTTAATGGTAAAGTTACTCTCAGTGTTTTGCACTCTGAGTGAGTAGGAGGGGAGGAATGGGACTGACTGACTTCCTGTGGTGGAATAAGCTCGAGCACTGTAGGAAATGTCTTCCCATAAGGCCTCCTGCTTTTAAGTCACTGTGAGGTGAGGTTTGCCTAATTCACTTGAGTCAGCTCGTGATCATGTCCAAAATCCACAGTTCTGGATTGGTGGTATAATATTATCCATCTCTCTCTAGATTGTGACGCTGATCGTACTGAAAAGTCAAGAACTAAAACTAACTAGAAGCTCTGTGTGTCAACACAAATGGTTGTGCCTGTAGATATTAATTTACAGTTTTTTGGATTGAGTTTTGTGCAAAATGTGCATGTATACATGGCTGATACATATACCTGCACAAGCTGTTGCTTAGAGAGATTTTGAGAATTCCTTGTTAGTAGTGCAGGAGCAGCATATATGTAGCTTACCTTTTTCTTCAGTTCCCACTGTTGGAAAGCAAATTTGAGACCTTTTAAAAAGATACTTTTAATTAAGAAAAAAAAAGGTATGCATATATATATATACCTCGTAAGAGTAACAGATCTTCCTTTTTAATTTATATTTTAAACAAATTACTGTTTCACTGTTATGTGGGTATCTAATTTATCCTTAGCATTGTGGGTGTTTTTTATTGTACTGTCTGCTCCAAAAGGTGTAGGTTAAATGTGTATTATAATGTAAGCTAGACCTGAGCTAGATTTGCGTGTGACACAGATGAGGGATGTATTCTTGAAGCATAGAGGAAAATTGCAACATATTCTGAAGTGTGTTTCTCATGTAACTCACTCTGTGATAAGTGATGTACTGAATGTAGTAAGGCTTTAATCTTTTTTAGTACTGTGATGCTTTTACCTGTGCAAAGGCTTTTCCTGAGAGGCAAACCCTGGTGACAGCAGTTAGTTTTGAAAAGGCAGTTATGATTAATAAATAAGTCCATCAGTCTGTATACAGTCGTAGTTTGAGTTTATATAATGCAAAATATACATGTGCATTGAGGATTTACTGGTAGCTTTGATAAGTCAGTAATGTCGCTGACATGTGTTAGGATTTGCTTTGACATGTGCTGGTTCTTCGATCCACAAAAAAAGAGCAGGGAAAAGCTGCATTAAATGATTTTATCCAGCCTCACCCCTGTCTGCCTTGACCAGCATGTTGCAGGATGGTTGCTTGAGGTTCCTCTCTTTTGTTCAGTCTAGCTCTAATTTATATGAGCTGGTGGGGAACTGCTACTCCTCTGCTTGAAGTAGTATTTCAATGACTTAGATTTCAGCATTAGGAAGTTTTTCCTTCATTCAGTAATAATTGATGATGAGCAAGTGTCTAAAATGACACACTGCAAGGGAGGTGCTGTTTTCTGCAGGATCTTCATTGAAAGAAGGTGTAAAATTTAAATAGTGAAAAATAGAGGCAGAAACTCTGGAAGGTCTGCTTTTTAGTTCAGTAATTCTGAGAAAGGATGTTTACTTCGTTTTCTTTTTATCTAAAATTACCAGCTGTATTTTAAAATGCTTGTGGAAATTTAATGTCCTAATTTTATAAATCACTATTTCAGAAATAGGACATTTTTCCAAAATAAAAAATTGAAAATTAAATTCAATATTTTTGCATTTGATAGCACAGCGTTATTATTTTTTAAGTGACCAGTGTTGTTATCAGTATAAATGTCTGTTTTCCTCACGAGTTTGAGAGTCTTCAAAGGAGTAAACCATTACTTTAGTGCATTATAATTCTGAGGTCTGCTGTAAATCATAGATTTTTCCTCAATGAAATGTAAGAAAGATGCAGTATTACATAGTAGATCACTGTTACATATGGTGTTTTGGGTTCTTGGGGCATGCATTTTGGAAAAAAAAAAAAGGTCATTTTTGGTAATATGTTTGGGGATTCTGGGGAGGTTTTTTGGGTGGCTTTTTTGGGTGTGTTTTTTTTGGTTTGGTTTGTTTTGGAAAGGTGAAGGTAAAAAGGAAAATGGCAGCAAATGCTGCAATTTTTTCCTTTTGTTCTGGATAAGAATTCTTTACACTGTTTTTGAAGCTGTAATGCTTCACTGTGGCTCTGTCATGGTAATACACAGAGGATCTGAACATGGGGGATTTTTTTTTTGCTGTAAGTAGGTCTTTTTCTTTTTTCTTTTCTTTTTTTTTTATAATGCTCATTTTGCTTTCTGTTTTAAGGCTGAACTCTGTATTTTGATTCACCATTCCTTTACACATTAGTCATTAATGTCTCTGTAAAGCATGGTCTAAAATACTAGGGCTTCAATTTGGAAAGACTTCACAACCTCTTTGCATAGTGTAAAAGATTACTTAAAAAAAAAAAAAAGATGAGTTAATTTCCTGAAATATAATAACACTTTAAAAAGCCTCCAGAGAGACTCTGAAGGTCATCCTTGAGCAGAGCTGTGTGTGCAAGCTGCAACATTGTCAGGCTACAGCCACATTGTAAATTTATCCTTTTCATGAATATGAAACTCTCACAAGCATTACAAAGAAACAATATGCCATGAATTACATCAAATTACCTGTAAAAGCCTTTCTCTTCCCCTGCCTGCTCTCCCCCTCTTATTCGTAGAGTGGGTGGGTGAGCTGTGGGAGTGAAGTGTAAAGAGGAGAAGGGAAAAAATTCCAGGCAAATGACAGACTAAAGGTGTGGAGGGAGTGAAAAAGGCAATGGACTGAATTGGGATTTGGAAGCAGATTATAAAAAAGGGGTTGTAGTTCCTAAACGTGCTCTGGACAAAGAGCAGGACAGGCGAACAGGGATGGAAAGGATGTATCCTCCTGCAGAGCAAGGATCTCTCCTGCTTAGGTGTAGCGAGGTAGGGGCATCCCTTACCTTGTCATCTTCCGTGACTCAGTGCTGGCACTGCTCAAAGCAATGAGCTGTTGTGGCACCAGCTAGAAAACAAAACAAGTCACAGGTGTATCACACAGAATTCATGGAGAAGGGAAGCTGCTCATTGCCATTGGGGTCGACCAGGTTCCCCTTCAGAGTCAATGTGAACAGCCATGAGAGCAGAAAGAGAGTTTTTAAAATGTTCTTGCTGTCTGTAGTATAAAGAAATTGTTTTGTGTGTCAGTGCCTTCATTCAGCTGAAAGAGAAGGGTGGTAAGAGCTTTCAAAAGCTAATTTCCCAAAGCTCAGTGGGAGTCAGGGGGCACAGGCAGGAAGACCTGAGCGGAGGCTGCAAAGAAGTGTCTTCCCTGGGTGCCAGTACAGGTGGAGGATGAGGAGGGAACAGGCCCACCTCTTCTATTGCTGAGAAGGTTGAAAAGAAAACCAAAGTGTGGGATTTGTGTTTTTCACAGAAACAGCAAAAGGAGTAGAAGCTACTGTTTTCATAGGAGAAATGTCATTAGAGGGAGCGAAAAAGCACATGTGGGACTGGGAACATCTGCTGCATGAAACCGCTTGAAAAACAACTGAGCAGCAGCATGGCAAAACAAAAATGCTGCACTGCATGCAGCAGGACCTCCAGGCAACCATGGGGCAGAGCAGGTACTCACCTGGCACAGCGTGCTCCTTGTCAGCCCTCACTGACGGGGAGAACAGCCTGTGGTGGGGAAGGGCTCTGGGAAGGTGATCCAGAACCACGTCATCATCCGAGAATTACCTGACTGATGGGTGACAGACACAGAGACAGGCAGCCAGACCCACTTCTGGGAAACAGCCTTCAGTTTTGTATAGGCAGGCAGTCACAAATATGTTATAAAAAAACCTGTTACCTGTTACATTGCAAAAATAGGATCCTGAGTGATAGGTTTTTTGTGCGTTCAGCTCCTCATCTTCCTACACATGATCATTCTTCTCTCCCAAACAAATTCAGGTCTGACTGTGAAAGTGGTCAGTGCTCATGGAAAAGTGCTGCAAAGCCTTTGTTTCTAGTGGATGAGGCTTTGTGGCAATTTACCTGGCTATGAAATTTTTGCATAGCTCTCATGTTTATTTGTTCCATGAGGGATTATGTTGGGTGGGTAAAAGCAGTATACAGTGTTCAGACTGATTTTAGGTTTTTTTCCTGAGCATGAAGAATAGGTCTATTGGCATTATGTTGCCCTGAGGCTCTGGCAACCTGCCGTGGGTCAGAGCACAGCTCTGCAGGTCAGTGGGCAGCCTGCCAATGGCAGGAACCTTCTAGTCCTTCCCCTGTGGTTTTCTGAAAGATCACTTTTATTGTTCTTGAGCTGTAACCCTTTTGTCCAGCTGTTGTCAAAAATATAATTATTGACATATATCTGTCTTTAAAATCCACAAGGAAAAGATACCTAATGTGGCATACTTTTGATACCCAGTTCTGCAGATCCTCAGTGGCAGATGTCAGTGTTCTCAGATTTGGGTCTGTCTTAAGATCTCTGGCTTCCTCTCACATTTTGACAGTGTCATCTATGATATGCTTTTGTAAACATTTCTGGATGTTCCTCTAGTGTACGTGAGCTTTCCTTTTATAATACTGAGCTGGATAAATTCCTCATCTTGAACCTTTGCTTCGATGATTAATTTATTTTAATGGATTCTGGCAGGCTTTCACAGGAACTTTATTTGCTTTATTGGTACATATGCAAGCTGCAGAAGAGATTTGCATGTCATAAGAATTTCAGGCTGGAAGAATTATTGAATCATGGTTTCCCCTAGTATATAAATTCTCTACCGTACTTTTAAAATAGTGGTATTTCATTTTGTGGTACTAGTGAAGGTTCTGTGTGAAATATGTTGAATTTCAGGAGGCTTTTCTCAGTTTCACAAGGTTAGTATATATTCTTGACTACATATAAACTTGATTTCATAAGAGTGACAGAAACCACAGGCCTAAATTTGCCTGGCAAGGCTGAATGCAAACTAGTTTAATGTCAGTAACAACGGTAGTCTGGATTCACAAAAAAATGAGAGATGAGATCTTCTGTCTATGCCATTTTAGATATATAATAGCAGTTATTGTAGAGGGGCTGTGTGTGTTTAGTGCACAAACTTAAATGGAGTGGAGAGCACAAACATATAAATTGCAGTCCAGAATTTCATAGAAGTTCAGGAATGTGTTTTTTGATTTTTTGGTTCAGGTTGTTTTTTATTTTGGGGAGGGGTTTGTTTTGTTTTGGGTTTGGTTTTTTTTTTTTTTTCTTCTGAGGTATGGAGAGTGTGAAGAAAAATTAATAATGTACCCCTCTTGGTTTGGTTTCTTCTTATGCTCAATAGGATGGTTATCCTGATTTCCAGGACACAGTCCAGACACTCTATCAGCAAGACAAAATGCCACTCGCTTTGGCTAAAGGAAAGAGTGAAGACCCAACAGCTCTTAATTCCCAGGTAAACCAACTACACTACACAGTGAATACTACAGGCCACGTCTCTGCACATTGGTTTTGATGTGTTGTTTTGATGACTAAATTAATTACCATCAGTTTTCAAAGGCTACCGAGCTCAGCTGGAATTGCATCACTCTTAATTGGGGTTTTACCTTCTGAAACTGTTCTGACACAGTACTATGGCTTTGCCCTTGTTAGTTCCAAGGAGGTAGGATCTCGCATAGTAGGCTTGACAATCTGTGGTTGCCTGTTGGGAGCAAGTAGGGTAGTATTGGTACAGTCTGTGCTGTGTTACTTGCGTTATTCGCTATAAATGGAAAGCTCAAGTTACTGAGTCTAGAGGAATAGAGTAGGCGATCTTGGAGTCCTCAGTTTCTGACACGTCTTGTAAGAAGAAAGGCCAATATATTTAGGAAATCAGCGAACCTCTGGATCTGAGAGGATAAACTGGCCTTCTAGACAACACCTCCTCTGCTGGAAGCGCAGTATTCTTGAGCAGACAGAAAGCTTTGTATAAATGAAGATTGGTTTCCAATTCTTTCTTTGTCCCTTCTGTAGAGTATCCCAGCCTCGAGGCAAAATACGCGTCTCCCACTGCCAGTTGTTGGCAAGAACGGATTTCATGCTAAGTTGCAACAAATTTATTTTGTATAACTGATTTGGCCAAATGTAATCACCGAATTTGCACGTAAGATTACATTGAGGAGTTCCCCCTGTTTTCTGAGACTGGATGCGTTGCCCTCTCATTTACCACCTTCTATTGCAAAGCAGTGCTTGGTCATACAAATCTGTTCATTGTGATACGTCAAAAAGCAATTATGCTACGTGTTCTGATGTCACAGAATAATTAAATGAACTTGATTTTTGCAAGCTTATTTTCATTTAGTGTATGCTTTAAAGTTGGGTCATTGCCAAATAACAATGGACTAGAGATTTAATTCAAGCTTAAATGTATCTACAACTCTACAGATTTTTCTGTAGTGATCAGAAGCATCATGGCAGTTTAAAATTCTGGATTTATCCCAACTGAACAACAAAGATGGCATGAATCAGAAATATTCTTTTTTAAAATTACAGTTCAGAAGTTGGTAACAAAAGTGACAGAATAGCAAAGTGAAAGCACACCTGAAAGTGAATTATTTGAAAATAGTTTTTTACCTACCTCATAAGACCAAGCTTGAGCTATCAGTGGTCTTCTGCAAAACCTGATGAGCTCTGAGCCAGAGTAAGTAAATACTGGTCATGTTATTACCCTGCTGTCAGGGTCATCACTGTGCTGGAAAAGCTCAGGGTTTGCTGGTTTGTTATGCTGTCATTGTATGTGTAAATTACCTAACTATGCTGAATAAGCAGACTTTTGTGGGAAGTCAGGGCTTTCATCATCTCCCAAGAAAAGTGAAGTGGTCTGCAATGAATAAGGCTCTGTACTAAATGAACCAATTATGGCATTACCTTAAAGACAAATTATTTTTTCCTATCAATTGTAAATGTTAAGTTTGTACATTTTCCAGTCTTATGTTCATCGTGGCTCTTCTAAATCAACTTTCTTGACTTGTGATTTTCTTTTTATTTTTGCAAGATGCTTATTTACATTCTCTCAAGAACAAGATCATAGTGAAAGTTAGAATTCTCTTGGCATTAAAGTCAATGACAAACATTCAGACGCCATTTCCTCCCACGTTGCACTGGATTGTTTAGTTCCACTCTCTAGAGGTGTATAGGTCTTGTTCTTCTTCTAGACAGACATTTCACACCTTTATCCCCCACAAACATACTGTCATCCTACACTTTCAGAATGGCAGATTTTTAAGCTTGTGTAGTGCTGTTTCCTAAAATAAAGATTCCAAGATGTCTGGTGAAATCTTGGCATAAGTTTTTAGCAGATGTTACCATTGCTCTTGGAATACTTTCTGGAGTACTTTGAGAAGACATGTATTTGAACAGAGCTAACTGGATAATTAAGACATTCTTATTTGCTTTTCTTGAGATTCTCTTCACGTAACCTGGAGTCCTAAAGTGCAGAAAGTGATTTTTGTGTGTTTTTGAAGAACAGAATTTAATGTAGCGTTTCTGTGTGGATGAACTACAACAGCTTGCATTTTAAGTATTCTTGACTGACTCAGATGTACATTATGAAAATCTCTATGGGTGCAAAAATATTTTGTTTGCTTCATAGTTTTGAAGAAACCGTAAAACACACATCTGTACATATGAGTCAACAAAAACCTCTATCTAGGCTGTTAGTTTTATCATCTGATATTGTTTTTCCCCCTGTGTTTTGACTTGCTATATGTATGTATATATAGAGGAATTTTTTTCTGTTTTATTTGCAGTCGGAAAAGGTGATGGCAAAACAGATGGAGTTTCTTTGCAACCAGGCAGCATTAGAGAGACGTCTTTCCACAGGGTGTTACAGACAGAACTCGGAAGAGCACAGCCCCAATGGCATGTCATTAGATAATGCTGATGGACAAGGTATGGTAGCTCCCAGGCACGGCGTTGCTGCCAGCAAATACCTTTGGTGTTATGCAACTCGTGTCAGTGGTGTCGTTTATCTGGTATAGAACCCTGAGCACTGAATGGACAAGACAAGATCTCTGCCCTGAAGTGCTTACGGTCTCAGTAATGCAATCAGGTGTATACTCAGGTTCTGCTCTGTTACTCTAATGTATCTGGGCAAACTGCTTTCCCTCTGGATGATGTGGGGAGGGAAGAAGGTAGGGTGCATCCCTATTACTGAGAGCAGGACTTGGCTCTGCCTTTATCCTCGGTTTTGAAAACAGAGCAGAATGCTGCCATTTCATTTGTGTCCTGGTTTTGTGGAAATTGAAAGTAAAGCAGATAATGTAGTTGGTACTCCTTTTTTTACCTGTTTGTGCAGTCTAGGAACAAAACCTGAGGAGCTGGCTGTGTAAATTACTTAGAGCTAAGCAGATTCTAATGATGATCTTAGTAGCTTGTTATTCTTCAAAAAGCTTTCAGTTCTGTGGTTCTCTTTGATTTACCAACTGGCTATTCCTTAGCTTGAATTAATTTTAGGAGTGTTTGTTTTGTTGGAGCACTTTCTGTTTGGATTTCTTTTTTTACTGTTGTGAAATGAGACAAAATATTACAAACAGAAGAAATACAACCAGAAGTTCTCGTGTCTGTTTTTTAGAAGCTAGTTTGTTTAAGGGGAGGCGAAGAGGAGCAGTAGAGGGAGGAACTAAGGGAATCAATACAAGTAAGCAATAAAACATGTTTTCATTTGTATGTATTGGTCAAGCAATGAGGTACAAAAGTATACAGGAAGATGAAGGTGTGTGGATCCAGCTTTCCTTGGCAGAGCAAGCTTTTTTATACCCTTAATCCATTGTGCAGGGAAAGTGGGAATTTTTAGGATCTCAGAGGGATTCTGAAGTGGGAGCAGAAATTTTTAGTATCTCAAGGGGCTTTTTGAAAGAATAAAGAGATGTTATAAAAAAAAAAAAATTCTATGGCTGAGTGTCTTTTTCTAGCAGTGCCTGTGGAGTAGTCTGCAAAGCAGCATATTTACATAAGCCTTGTTTTGCTGTGAAACTTCCCTGAGCAGCTGGAATTTAGGATGCGCTTTTGCAGATGGAATTAGTATGTCTTTAGGTCTCTACCTGTTTTTTAATATTGCTTTTCTTTTAACAACCTGCAGGTGAAAGGCCGCTGAACCTCCGGATGTCCAATCTGCCAAGCAGACAGATGCAGCACATTTCACTTGATGGAGAGCAGCATGTTGGAAAACCTTTGTGCAGTGATTTGATCCGGCTTTATCCCGGTGGTGAGGCGAAGTCCCAGTCCTCAGGTTAGTGCTGGCCTGTGAAAATTACCCACTGTTTCTTACAAAGCCTGTGATAAATTTACTAATCTGTGATGTCTCTGAGTGGAGCAGCTAGCAAGGCAGCCTGGCATGTGCTGTGTGGAACTATGCAGTCAAGGCTTTGGTGAAAACTTCAAGAGGAGTGTTACTTGCTAATGTGGAATTGGATTGAATATGATTTGGGAAAAGCTTTGGGGATGCAGTAACTAGGTTCAGATAAGCAAGTTCTGGCATGTGTCTGTCCTCAGTGCTGTTGACCCAAGCTACTGCTGTTAAATACTTAAACTGCATTACAGTCACAGCAACATGATTCTAATATGGCTTCATTCTGTATAAAGGAATGAGACTTTTTATAAAAACACCTCTTCATTCTGGTTTATAAGGACCTGCCACTGTTTCTCTACTGTGAACTGCATGTCATGCAGTAAGTCTTTTCTACCTGGGTTTCCTATTCAGTGACCTCTGCTCACTGGCAATGTTGTAATTTACCTCTGGCATTGTGGGAGCCACTCTAAGTTTGATAGAAGAGAGCAAGAAACCTTTGTGAAATCTCTCTGGGTGGTTTCAGTTTAATACTTGGTGGACTGAGATGAAGACAGGAATTCTGGAGACTCTTGTAATTTTAGGAGTAATGATAAAATCTCACCTGAGTTTGAAAGATGCAGTGGAAAGGAGCTTATTTGAAAGAGAAGGTGCAAAAGTTGTTTTGAAGACTGAGCAGAACCTTGCATTTTCCTCTTTGGAATATTTTTTGCAGATTGTCTCGATCCCACTGATAGTACACTTAGTGGAGTCTCCAGTTGAGGAGTTTTAGCAGTTCCCTCTCAAAATGCAAGTGCAGAGTGCATCTCCATTAGCCCTGCTCCTGGAGAGGACTGAAGTAAATCTGTGGTGCTTCCTCAGCCATCACTGCAGTGTAACTGAGGTGGTTCTAACCCAGCTGGGTTAAAGCCCAGGATGAGGAGGCAGAATTTATTGCTTCAACTCTTAGTATCCATATGGTTCTTGAACCTTTTTCTTGATTTAAAAACAGAATATGTTTGTTTCCAAGCAGTGTTTTAACATCTTACTTTCTTTCTTTTCTCAATGCAGAAGGCCTTGGTATTTTAAAGGATTTTCCTCATTCGGCTTTTAACAACATAGAAAGGAAGGTCATAAAAACAGAACCTGAAGACACAAGATAGTCATTCTGCTCTGGAAAACAGTGTCACAGTAAAGAATGAAACTTCACAAGAGAAAAAAAAACAGCCTTAATAACCAGTGTTGCCTCATTCAAATAAGAGATTTCAATAGCCAAAGCCTAAGAACTGGTACAGTAATCTATGGAAACAGGAAAGCAAGAGACACTGCAAACTCAAACAGTAATACAGGTGGATAAACATTCCTGTAAAAGTGGTTTTATAACGTGGGAAGATTCACAAATTAATATTGTGGGTCTTCATTATTTAAGAATGTATTATGTATTTGTATAACTTATCAAAGTAAATCTAGATGTCGGGACGTGTATTGAGTCCAGTAGATGTGGCTACAGTTCATTTTACTTGAAATTTCAATGTCTACTTTCAGTGTACCTAGCGTAGATATGGTTGTTAAACATTTGAATTTAAAATCATTGGAAAATTAGGAATGCAAACCTCGTGACACAATTAACAGCAAGTTTTCAACAATATTTATAGAAAAAGGAAAATGCGTAAAATATTTCATGGTTAAAAATGTTATGTGAATATAGCATTTGATAGACCTAGACCCTGATTCTGTATCATAGCAGACATACTTGACACTTAACTATCGCTACATCACTTTCAATGGTTTCAGCAGCCTTTGTGTAACACTTTTATAGCATAATACCTACCTACAAGTCAGGAGTATAGGAAATGCCAGTTAGAGTATGGAAGAGTCCATATGATTGGCTCCCATTTCCTTGGGAAAAACTGGGGTTTGATAAACCGTACAATTACTGAAATCTCATTTGGTAGGAAACTCAAGAGACCAAGTAGCATGGACAGGGCTGCAAAAATTGTGATTCAAACCATTATAACTTCTTGGACTTCTCTGTGAATCTTAAAAAAAAAAAAAAAAGAAAAGCATCCTAAGTGTGGCAAAGATGACATACGATGCAGGATTTATGCATCAGTATAAAAGGTTGCACTTGATATCCAGAAACCATAAGATTTTTTGGGGGAGAGAGACAAGGAGTCATGTCTTTAGCATGTGACTCCTTATTAAGTGCTGTCCAGCCCACATGATTCTATGAATATACCGTATACTGCATACAGTATGCCAATACGTTTCTTTATATATGTGGTTAATTAACATCTGTATTCTTTATTTATTTGACAGTTTTTATTTTTTGTACATGTTCACTTTTGAAGATGTCATTTTATCTAAGGAGAAGTAAGTTGGCATATAACTCTGGAATTTACCATGGTGTGTTTGTGTGCATCCATTTCTCCGCTGTGCTGCTCTGCAGTCAAGATAGTTGTATGCCTCAGTTTCCAAATACAGGTTTTGCTTATGATGTGTCCTGGAGGTGAAAGGGATAGCTGAAGAAAGTTAGAATGCCAGTGGGTAAACTTCCCTGTTCGAGTATGCACTTCATGTCTGCAGTTTGCTCTGTGTCATAGGTGTGTATTAACAAATCAGTCACAGTCTCTGTTGTTCTGAAATGCTCAGCAAAATGTGAGCTGAAATGTCTACACTGCAGTCTCTTATCACTGTAAACATACCTAATTATTTTATCACTTGATTTGTGGAACAAAGCTTTATAGTAGAAACACCAGTAAAACAACTTTTTATACTATTAAAATGTTTGTTTTTTTAAAAAAAATGTTTCTTGAACTGTATGGTACTGTTTCACTTACTGAAGTATCTTAAAGCAATGGAGTTCACAGCTTTGCTGTTAGGAATAAGAGATTGAATGTGTAGTTATATTTCCTCTTTCCTGTTGTGTGAGCTAGTAGTACGGATGTTTCTTAAGTTTGTAACATTAACCAGTGCCCTGGTTAGTATCTGAGTAGCTTTCACGAGACGTGTATGGAACTTGTTAAAGGACAGCTTATGGTTTGAACTGTACAGCTTGAGCAATAGAAGGTACCAAGCGACAAACCTTTAGAGATGCAGGAAACATTTGGTTTTCTCCAACATCTAACACCATCAAATGTTATGTGTGGATCACAGAAGAAGCTCTTAAGCTTGCTGGTCTCTTCAATTAAAGCAAGAGGAAGGAAGAAGAACTTGCTAAGCAGCACGCTGTTTCAGTCGAGTCCAGATTTTATTTTGTAAACACTAATGTATTAAATTTGCTATAAATTAAAGTATATAACAGTTATATTTTTGAGTTGTAAATACAGTACTTTGTGTCACGACCAGTTGGTTATCTCCAGAACAATATTTCAGTTTATAGTCCAACAGGCCATTTCAGTCCTCAATAAGCTGGAAGCAACTTTTTTTACTGGTTTGCAGCTGTATGATTTGGATTTTTTTAACCTGGGGGGGGAGGTGGGAGGTACATTCCGAGATTGCACATACGTTTGGTAATAGCAAATATTCAAGCATTGGTCTTTCCATGACAAAGGTCTTGGTGGACTGCAACCTGGCTAGCCTCTGGAGTCACAGGTAAAGGCTTGCCCTCGTCTGCTCGTGAAGGGTTGCTAGATCCAGGGTACTCTGGATCAAAGGCCAGCCCTGCAAATGATGCCTGTTTTATTCACATGTTTATATTGTTGCTTACAAAATAAAATTCACCGTGAGAACTCTTTAGTTTCCCCAGGGTTTTTCCTTCTTTTTTTTTTTTTTAATTGTATTTTCTAAAAGGAGATGTTAATTTTGGGGGGACAGGGGAGGAGGGAATACCTTGAACTGCAGCTCTCCTTTGGAGGAAGCCTTTTCCTGCTCTTGTGGTTGAATCCTCATTTACCTTCTGTGCACAGCCTGCAGGGCTCAGTGGGCCCAGGCAAGAGGGAGGAACTAAAACCCGGGAAGGGTTTGGAGCACAGCACTTATACTGAGTGCCCTCCCCACCTCCTGTGCTCCCACATTCGTGTGTGCTCACATTTACACAAGATTGCAAACAGCTCAGATCTGCTAGGAGGGGATGCCAGGCATGTCAGTGGTCTTTGGGAATTGTCTAGCCTTAATTGCTGCTCTCCACAGTGTCCTGGTGATCCACCCTGTTTCAACTTGCTCTCTAAGCAGCAGCCCATATATCTGCTAAGAGACTGTTGGAGGGCAGAAACTGGATGAGAGATGGGGTATAAAAAGAGAAGAAAAACGGACCAGGGAGCAAAAACAGCAAAGAGAAGTGTGTGTGTGGAGTGGGGAGCCCCTCTAAAAACCTTCAAAACATCAGGTTGCTGAGCTGATGCAGAAGTCTGGAGTGATTTGACAGAGATGGGGGCAGAGTAAGAGTGATCTCCCTGCCTTCTCCCAGCCCAGAGGAGATTAAATGTGGGAAATCAGAACCAATGGCTCAATGGAAAGAGGAGAGGGAAGGAGCCAGGCACTGTTGTGTTGAAGGTGCAAAGATGGGGCAGAACAGCCCCAAGATATTGATCTGTCAGACTGCACACAAGGATAATCAGAAAACCTTTAGACATTTTTTTAACTTGACGTGGGCTGAGCAGTGACTGGCCACAGTTCAGTAAGAACATAGTGATGCTGGACAGGCACGGTGGTGCCAGAGCCCACTGGCTTGCGTCAGGCCCACTAGATACAGTGTCTCATCGAGTTGCTGTGAAGCTGAGTGCTGTGAGGTCCTTGGGTTGGAAGGCGCTGCTGGGTGGAACAATTTACAGAAAGGTCCTTAATGTTTATGTGAAGTTGCAAGAAGTGCCTGTTTCTCATGCAGCCAGAAAAAGGTAATTTAGTTTTTTATTGTTGGCTACCTCCCTAAAGCTCCTGTGTCTTTTTCTAAATAAGCAATTGATAAGAAGCTCAGCCAGGAAAGCCTTCGTCCGTGGCTGAGCCTCTAGTCATGGCAATGCCTCTGCCCATGATGACAGCTGCAGAACTCATTTACTCCCTGTTCTCTTTTCAAAATCCAGAGAACTCATACACAACACCAGTATCAGACCTGGTGGAAGCATACTCCAGCGGCCCCTAGTTAAAGCATAAAGGGTTGTAACTGTGGCAAGTGGAGTTTGATAACACTTTGGCTTGGACCTGGGCTCCTGAGGCAGGATACCCTGCTCTGCTCCTTTCCTTGGGTGTAGAGCCATTTTCCAGCTAAACAAGCTGCAGCATCCCAGGCACCTTCATGCAGGCATCAGCCAAGCTGGGCTGTGGTTTTGGGGTGCCAGCTGGCAGAAGGAATGGTGTGTGCCCCTCCCAAGCATGTCCCACCGGGGCTAGGAAGGCTTGTGCTGTTCCCAGCCTTGAGCTGGGGTGCAACTGGGTCACAATGTGGAGCTTTGCTGGCTGTCTCCTTAAGCAGGAAAATGAGGAGAAATGCCATGAGGCTCTTTTGTGCTGTACAGAAGGGTTGAAAAGATGTTGTGCTGCAGTGATTCAGTGGGGAAAGGATAAATCCCTCACATACACCTACACACCACCACGAGAAAGAACTCCGTGGGCAGAGAAGGAGCAGAACATGAAATATGAATTTCCTCGAGCTGCTCAGGAGGAATGGCTTTCCAGAGCCCTTCCCCCGGCGGCTCTCCTCTCCCACTGCCCTGCTGTGCTGCGATGAAGGTCGGCCCCTTCCAGGGAAGGCCCCCAGGTGGGGCTGCTTGCCCTGCCCTATCACCTGCACCTGCAGCCCCGGGGAAGGGCGAGTCCCCTCCACACGTGGTTTTGGGCTGTGGTTCTCACCCAAGGAGAGGGGTCGAGGCTGGCTGCCCACCACTGGGAGAGTTGGCTGTGCCAGCAGGCAGCAGCTCCAGTGCTGAGGGAGACAGTGGAGGTGGCTGCCACTGTGGAAAAGCTTGGGAAGCCCTGATGTAGGCTACTTCCAAGTCCTTGGGTCATCAGATGGTGCCCTAGACACCTGCGCACCCCAAACCTGCCCCTTGGCCAGATTCGTGATGTTCCTGTCTCCCTGTTCTTTGAGTAAGTCCACAAAGAATACTGCTTTTGCCCATTTAACAAAATATTCAGAGGTCTTCAAAGCTCGTTGATTTGAGGTGTGCACTGTCTGTGACGGGCTCTGGAGGGGCAGGGGCCATGTAGAGCCTGGGGCACATATTGAGGATGGAGGCTCCTCCCAGAGGAGCTATGGCCTCAAAGGTAGTCGTTGCTGGTTTGGGTAGATTTAATTTAAATTGCAAGAGGTTTTATTCAATTTTATTTGCTTTCTTATTTTATATTACTTCTCAGTAAATTTGAAATTCTCCTATGTCTTTGGAGCATATGTGGATGCATTTAATTTCCTATTACCTTGGGGATTTCAGACAGCTTCATTCTCAGGGCTATTTAGAAAATTATTTAATCACCTTGGAAAATCCTATGTAGCCAAAAAATCTTGTGTTTACTTATTACTCAGTTGTAAATTTGTGGTGCAAAACATAGCAGTACTGGGTTGTAAAACTGCACATAAGCCTTCATTGAAATCCAGTGCCAAAAAAAAAAAAAACAAAAAAAAAACAAAACTAAAAACCACATTAACTCTCTGCATGCAGTGACACGAATGCAGATGATTTTTTTTCATCAGAAGGCTGGGCAGGAATTTCCGAGGTTTCTGCGGAGCAGAGTAACCCCGCAGACACAGGGTAGCTCGTTGTGACACACCGAATTAGGATGTGATCATATTTACGCATTTTGAAACCCCGTAATGACTCATTCCCATGCCGTTAGAAGTTTGCACTTCGTAAATGTGTCTTTGACTGCTGCGAAGGGGCCATGTGAACGCCCACGGGACCTGGGGAAGGCAGCCCTTCCTCCCGCCGCCTCCGGCAGGCAGGACGCAGAGGCAGGGATGCTGTCTGGTGGTAGGTGGCTGCCTGCGACCTCAGGTCTCCTCCCACTGGTCCCCAAAAAGAGATTTGCATGGACACAAAGCTGCTATAAGAGGGGCCCTTAGCTTCAGCATCGCCATACGAAGAGGTGTGAACTGGTCCCTCCCTAATACAGAAATACTTGGGGACACATTCTTATGTTTCACAGGGACCTGTGGAAGTCGCCCATCTCTGTGTTTGGCACCGCAGTTTACTGGACCCAGCACATATATAGAACCACCCTATTTTTAAGGGACAAAGTCTAGCTTTTTCCCCCTGCACACAAAGTGAAGCTGCCCGGGTGTCTGGTGACCCCACCGCTGAGCCTGGGAGGGGGCACAGCCCCAGCCCAGGGGGTGACGTGGCCGAGGGCTCCCGCTGGTTTTGGTGGAGCAGTGTCAGCCTGACGCCCACGCGGCAGCCTCGGGATCCGCCTCGCGCTCATTCAGGAGCCGCAGCTTCGCCGCCACGCACAGACTGAGCTCAGCAGCATCCCTCCCGAATCTCCCCTCCTGGCTCGCTTCCAGCCGCTCCGCGTGCGCCCGGTTATTACTGTAGCATCCAGCATGTTTAACTTCATATTCATCTCTCTTGCACATACCGGCCCACTCACGTATTAGATCTGAATCTTCCCCCCCCCCTTTCTTTTTTTTTTGCTTGTTGCTCGACAAAGCGGTGAGGCACGACACGCCGCGTGTTGTGACATATCCTGACAGGTCTCGGCGGCATGGCGTGGTACGACACGGAGCAGCTGTCTCTGATGCACCCTCCTGCCTCGCTGGCCGGACGCACTGGCTCCCACCTTCGGGGAAGCAGAGGAGGGTACTGGATGCTGTGGGTGATGATGGCACCAAAGGCGTCTTGGTTTTTAACGTACCCCTTGCCAAAGCAGGGAGAGAAGCAGGGAAAACCGCAGCCACTGGGTGTGCCCAGAGCCTTGCTTTTCATTCTCACAGGCGGTGGTGGCCACATTGGATGAAGGTGACTGCGTAGGGCCGGTCGGGGCCGTGTTGGGTTCCCTGCTGTGTTGATAGCACTGAGAGGTGAAACGCAAGAAATAGTGTGAATACAGAGCTTTCAAATGGTTTTGGTGTGTTAAGCACGTGGCCAGCTTTAAAGAGCCATCATCACTGTACTTCTCAGAAGGGTAAGCAAAGCTTTTGAAGCTTGATAGGAGCAACGAATAGCAAACGGGAAGGAGAGTGGAGCATATCTTGCCGAGGAGCTGCCATGAGCAGCTGGGGAAGGCAGCACCAGTGCGTGGCTGCAGGGGGCTGGGGGCAGCTCTGTGGCTGGATTTGCCTCTGTTTTGCATCTTCTGAAATCTCGTTATTTGATTTGCTGATTTTCCTCTTCTGAAGTGACCTACTCAAAAGGCTAAAAAGTGCTTCTGCTGGCTGGTGGAGTCTGGATTTTATTTAAATCTGTATAGGAAAAAAGTTGGAATAATATTCAAAGTGGCTATTCTAAAGTATATATCCACTGCAGTAGATCCCTGATGTAGCTGTGGATGTTTTAATTACGAGATAGAGAAGAATTCATGTCAGTGCTTGAAACCAAGTTTAAATCTCATCCTCATGAAAACACCTTTCTCTTGGTATCTGAAACACTAATCCCTTAGATGCCCACGGAGTGGGGTCCCATCTCACTGCCCAAAGTCTGTTGGTCTCTTCCCTCAAATAGAGCTGAGCTGGCCTGGAGAGCAGTGGACACCACGGAAATTGCCTTGCTGGCTCTGCACTCTCTGCAGCTGTTTCATTCCATCCTTTGCTGTGCCCAGCAGTGGCCAGACAGTACTGGGTCTCAGGCTGAACAATTGTTGAGATGGAT